ACGTGGCTGAGAAGGCAGATGCTGCTGCTGTTTACTTTCCACGGAGTCAGAGTGCCTTGAGTAAGACAGCCCACGGGACCTGCACCAAGGACCCCGTCTGTTAGGAGAACCTAGTCTAAGTGGCTCCCTGTGCATCATCTTAAAGATCATCTCTACTGGGTGGCTAATGCTTATAGGTCCTTCAAGGCAGATTTAGTCTCTTTATTGCAATGTATTACCCGTAAGCATCTGTTATTTCAGTGGATCTAGTGGATCTGTCTTTCTTAAGTGGCCCTTGAAAGTATTCATGATCCATCAGTCTGACTCTCAAGTCTAGACTTGAAGCTATCTAATTCATATTGCTGCTATTAATATTGCTCCCGGCCTGAGTGTGTGTCCACTGTGAACCATACGGTTAAATTTAGTAAGCCAACCACGAATCCTAATAGCTTAGGAAATATTCATCTGAACGCTTTTTTTTCTTCGGGCTTCTGTAATACTAGGCAAGCCTGATGAGGTAGTAGAAAAAAAACCAGTCTAACTGAAAAAAAAAAAAATCTACTATGGATTATTAAAAAGAACACCGTGCATTATAGCTACCAACAGGGAGGTCTCTATATGAAACACATGGCCTACATTGCAGATGACTGCTTAGATCACCGGGGTGATCATATGGTTTGCTGACATGAAACTGTGTTTATGCATCCTGGATAACCCCATATGATAAAAACAATAACAGAAATTAATTAAGGAATAATAATAACAATAAAAGAAACGAAGTGTTAAAAATGTGATACACATACACACACACACACACACACACACACACACACACATACTCTTATATATAGACTCTTTTTACCCAGAGTTCAGCAGTTGGTGAAGCCATGGTAATCTTTTTTGTTTTCAGTGTGTTCATTTATTTCTTTCATGACTGAGAGAGGCAGAGACACAGCATCCCCAACAAGGTCTTGACCCTGCAATCCACCCCTAGCTTCAGCTAGCCTGGATCATGACACATGCATGTCCTGCATACTCAGGGAGGTCTCCAGTTGTGACTCCAGAACCCTCCCACGTGGGTCTGCCTCACCGAGCGTTGGGCTTTATGGCTGTGCCACCGTCTAGCGTCCCAGCTACTGCAGTCTTACAGCACCATGGCACGTCACGTGGGCTCTCTTGCCTCTGACTTCCTTGGTTGCAGGAACCACAGCTAGAACATCTGTGCCAGTGCCTAGCATGGTATTGAAAACTTGGTAGGCACTTCAAAAATGTTCCTGACATGAATGAAGAAATTTCTTTGTCATTAGAGCATCTCTTCGAGTAGCAGATAGCAATTTCTGTCTATGTAACCATGGTGGGCAAAATACGTTTACCCTGAGGTTTGGTAGGAGAGTTGGACATAATACATTCTTTCTCCCTTCTTTTTCTTTTTCTTTTTCTTTTTCTTTTTCTTTTTCTTTTTCTTTTTCTTTTCTCTTTCTCTCTCTCTCTCTTTCTTTCTTTTTCTCTCCTCTCTCTCTCATAAAGATTTTTGCTTTAGGGTGCATGTACTCGCTGAGGGGAGAGAGAGACAAAGACAGTGAGAAGGAAAGTGAGAAGTCTGGGGAGGATGGCCATGCCATCCCTCCTCTCCCATTCTCCTCCTGGGATCTTGGGCATGCATGCACGCGCACCTGGCTTAAGTTTCAGGTCACGGGTCTGGAATTTGAATCGCATTCAGCCATGTGGCAGTTCAGTGACACAAGCGCTACATCTTCTTCTGCTGGCCCCAGCATAGTCTTTCTTAACCATTATCATTCAGTTCCCATGAATTACCCAACATTTATGTCTTTAGCTCCTCTCTCTGGTTTTACCACCTCTCAGTATTTGTGAGGTCCCAGCTCTGAGCCCAGCAGCTGAGCATGTTTATATTTCACTAGTTCCCTTTAGGCTCAAGGCTCTGTGTCCTTCGGGCCTCTCTGTTTCTGTTGGGCAACCTTGACCACTCTGTGTTGGTCATCACCAGCTCACTCATTCTGCCTCCCCGGACAAACAGCTCCGAGGCAGGGCTGTGGCAAGATCTCTATCCCCGGTGTTTCACGTTGTCTTTGACTCGTCGTAACCTTGTGTGGATGTTTATGGACTGAGCCAGTGAAGAGATGAGTTAGGAAAATGAATAAGTGAAATGAATGTATCTGTAGTTAGGTCGCGTTTTTCCTTTTCTTTTTAAATTAAACATTTATTCGGTTAACCATATGGAAAGTCAGCACCCAGTCCACATGCCACCTTCTGGCCTCTTTCTTTTCTGTTCTTTTTCTTTTTCTTGTTTTCTTTTCTTTTTTTCTTCTTTTTCTTTTTAAACAACTTCTTCTGGTATATATTTAGGTATACGACACGATGTTATGGGATGCACATGATAGTAAGAAGTTACTGTCATGAAGCAAATGAATATATTCATCCTCTCACACGGTTACCCTTTGCTGTTGCTTCTGTGGTAAGAGCAGCTATGATCCACTTTGGCGTGAATCCTGTGCACGGTATAATTTTATTACCTACAGTCTTGGTGTTATGCACTGAGTCTCTAGATGTGTTTATGTAGGTGGGTCATCTTTAGGCACTTGTTTTCCGGTGGTGGCTGCAAATGTGAGAGCCTGTGGCATGATGCTCAAGGTGGCGGTAATTAGTACGTTACTAAGACCTGTCACTTGGCTTTGATTGCTATCGACATGGTGCTTTACTAATGCATTTCTCATTGCTGAGTGAGGAGCTCAGAAATAAAATAAAAATGATGTTGACAGAAATATAGCACTAAAATTGAGATGTCCAGTTGTATAAATTACCAGACATCTACAGGCATAGGGCTTAAGATGAATTAGATCAGGCCTGGTAATTCAGTAAAAAACATGGGAGGTTATGCCGGTGGCTTTTGCTTTCTGCAGAGCTGCTCTCTGTGGTGTGGGTGTGACACAAAGGGCTTCAGGGGCAGAATTTGAAGGTGAATGAGAAACTTAGGGGATCAAACAGACAATGGTTAAGTAATATATTTATTTACGTGCACTTGCTGGAAAGACAGAGAGAGACAGAGAAAGTAAGAACGCATCTTCCTTGTGGGATGGTCACATCACAATTCCTTCTTATTTCGACTTTTGAGATTTGGGGCACAAATTGTTTTTTAAGTCTCTGAATCTGGGACTTGAACTGCGTGATCAACTGTGTGGGATCCAGCCACCTTAACCACCATGCCACAGGCTGGCTCATAATACATCATGAAATGATTCTCATAGTACATGAACTATAAGATTTAAAGTAACAAGTGGTTTCAAATTTTATTTTCAGAATTTTAAATATTTTTATTATTATTTTTAAAATTTGCCATAGAATGTACTCACCAGGGAGAGATGGAGAGGGAGAGAGAGAAAGTGAGACAGCAAGCAAGCTGCCAGGTCCGGGACTCAGACCGTGGTTAGCCATGTGGGAGTCCAGCACTTTCAGCATCGCACTACTTCCTGGCCCTCAAATTTTATTTTTAATAAGAGTAACGCACGTATCAAATGAAAATCATGCCAAGACTATGGTATAGTATGCCTAGTTTTCTCCAGAGACCACCTCTTCATTGTCAGTGGAGTAGACACAGAAATCTGAGTGCTAGATTTAGACCTACTCTAGTTTCGTAATAAATCATCTTCCAATAGTGTCTATTAACTGCCAACCACTGTGTAAAATGAGTATAAATCAGGCTTATTTACACTCTTCCCTCTGTTCTTTCCAATATTTTATTGTAAAATTCTTATTTTTAGATCTTCTACTGGTCTGTGCTATATAATCTTTAATAACTTACCTTAGGTTTCTATTTTTGAATCTTTAAGTCAGCCCGGCCGTCCCATGCTGTGAGGTGAGGATGCTGACCACGTTACTCTACTTCCCTCCTGTTTCATAGCTCACCTTTGCCAGTGTCCCTCTTAGTTTTTTGCGAATATGAAATTGTATTCATATTTACATTTTGCCCTATGAAGAGGGGTTTTTAAAGATGATTTGAAGGGAAAATTTCAAATTATAAACAGTAATTGGTGTAAGGTAACTTAGCTGGTTAATGTTAGTGCTTCTAACTCCAATTTGGGACTTTTGATTCCTAGTCTAGTAGACTTTCTTTAGTTAAGCTCATCAACTCATTCATCAAATGTTGGTTGAATGTCTGTTCTCTGCCAGGCATTATCATAAGTCCCAGTACTGTAACACCATGTAAAAAAAAAAATAAATAAAATAAAAGAGAAATGGTCTTGAATCTCACCGCATTGTCATATAAAAAGGACAGAAGGACAGATATGTAAACAAGTAATTCATTTTCAATGCAATAATATGCAAACAAAGATGTTACCTAACTTCTTTGATCCCACAGGTCCGAAGGTTAAATGCTGATAGAACTATAACAAGCGACATCTTTAATATGTTGTGGAGGCAGTGTTCTACCTAGTTCACTTATGCATGTTTAAGAAATAGGGAATCCATGGCCTGGCAGTTAAGGCGCTGGATTCCACATGGCCAACTTTGTAGTTCAAGTCCTTGACCCGGCAGCTTGAAAAAACATTCCAGGCATGTGTGTGTGTGTATGTGTATGTGTGCCCCAAGTCCTGAAAGGAGGGAGAAATGGAAAACAAGGGGTTGCCGTGTGACCATATCTCATGGGGGGTGATTTATTACTTTCCCTCTCTGTCTCTTTTTCTGACAAGCACATGTATCTTCTGAGAAAAAAAAAAAAAAAAGAAGTAAGAAGTAAGTCTTTGTATACTTTTAGGAAAGTAATTTAAATGGCCTGTTCAAGGTCAAATATGAAAGTAAAATATTTTACACGCGTGTAATTGTCATTGATATATGTATCATGTGTTATGTGATCAACATACTTTTATGTGGGAATATGGAAGTATTCTTCAGTTATCCTTATAAGTTGGTTTGGTATTTGGACTTCAAGTCTAAGGTTTATGAATTTATTTGTAGATCCTTCTGATGGTGACTTGTGAACTTTCTCCTTTTTCTCCTTTCCTCAGATTTTCATCACCGTGAATTGCCTGAGTACAGATTTCTCCTCCCAAAAAGGAGTGAAAGGACTTCCTTTGATGGTTCAGATTGATACATACAGTTATAATAATCGTAGCAATAAACCCATCCATAGAGCTTATTGCCAGATCAAGGTCTTCTGCGACAAAGTGAGTAAAGATGACAGTTTGTCATAAAGGTATCTTTGTTATTAGATACTAGTTGTAATGGCATTTCTCACCTTTTCTTACCTAGCGGTGTCAAAATAATCGTACCTGTCACAGCGGAGTGATCATCTTTTCTTTTCAATTCCTGTGAGGTATCTAGGAAGTCATCGGTCAACTATATATATTTTTTTAATTAGTCATTTTTAGCACTAATTGGATGACTGGTTGACATTACTCTGATTTAATCAGCACAGGCTTCGGTAACAAAATAACATAGACTGAATGGCTTAACCATTAGTAATTCATTTCTCACAGTTCTAGAAGCTGGAAAGTTCAAGATCAAGGTGCCACCCAGTCTGGTTCCTAGGGAAGGCTCTCTTCCTGGTTACAGAGGCTGCCTTCCCATTTCTCACTATATGACAGAGACAGAAAGGCCGCAAACTCTCTTTTGTCCCTTCTCCTTCTCCTTCTTCTTCTTCTTTAAAGGCTTTGGCCATAGGGGGAGTGCACTCACCAGAGAGAAACAGAGAGATGGAAAGTGAAGAATCACCTCTCGAGGGGGCTGGCCATGCTGCAGACAGTCCCTTCTCTGCCATTGTCCTCTTGGGACTCTGGGCATATGAAGACACACATTATGTTGGGTGTGTTCCCAACATAATTTTCAAGTCACCAGGCCCAACACTCAAACTGTGGTCTGCCAGGTGGGAACCTAGTGCCTTAACCACCACGCCACCTGCTGGCCTTCTTTTTTCTTTCTCTCTCTCTCTCTTTTTTTTTCCAAGTGTTTTTTGCCTTTGGGCACAGGCACTCACCAGAGAGAAAGAGAGACAGAGACAGTGAGGGAATACTCTCCAGGGGAGATGGCCACATCACAATCCCTTCTCCTCCTGGGATCTTGGGCATGCTCACACCGCATGCACCTGGCATGGATTTCAAGCCACCAGATCCAGGACTCAAACAGTGGCTGGTCATGGGGGAGTCCAGTGATGTAACCACTAAACCATCTTTTGTCTCTAGTCCTATCTTTTATCACTTTATTTAAGGTCACTGATTCTGTTATAAGAACCCCACTCTCACACTCTTATCTAAATGTGATTATTTCCCAAAGATCCCCCTCCAAATACCATCACCTTAGGGGTTAGGTTTTCTTGTTTTAGAGATTTATGCCTGAGAGCACATGTGCTCACTGAAGAGAGAGACAGAGTCTGTGGGAAGGAAAGTGAGAAATCACCTCCTGGGTGGCCATCATGTGCCACAATCCCTTCTCCATTCTCCTCCTGGGATCTTGGGCACACACACACACACACGCCCCTGGCATGAGTTTCAGGCCACTTGGCTCAGGACTCGAACCCCAGTCAGCCATGTGGGAATTCAGCAATGTAGGTTTTTAATGTGACTTTTGGGGATACACAAGCATTCAGTTCAAATACACTGTGCTATGAGTCAATTCACACAGAAACTGTAGAAAATGGTGGTCAGAGAACATAAGTAACTTTCCCAGAATCACACAGCAAAAATGCAGAGGAGCTAGATGCAAGTAAAGGCCTGATTCCAAACCCATACTCCTAGAATTAATGAATAACTTTATGCATGCAGTTCCAAATGACAACTGGCAATTCAAAGCCTCAACAAAGAGCCAAGATAGCCTTTAGAAACAAATCAGAGCTGGGGCCAGCAGGTGGCATGGTGCTTAGGGCCGCTGGACTCCCACATGGCCGACCATGGTTTGAGTCCCGGACCTGGTGGCTTGCTTTCTCATTCCCCTCACCCCCCTCTCTTGCTCGCTCTGCCCCTCTCTGGTCAAATTTAAATAAATAAATAAAGTTAAATACAATAATTATATATAAAAAAAGAAACAAACCAGAGCAATGAAATTAGTTCATGTATTTAATTCAGTATTAAACATTAAGAACATATTTTCAAATTATGTACGATAAAGAACTTCTTCAGTACAGACCAAAATGCATTGAAATAATTTGAATTACCTGCCTGCATCCCAGATATCCCAAGGGGATTGTAGAATCCTTTCTGTGAATCTCCTTCTGAGAAGGAAGGAGTAAGGTCAGAGGCAAGAAGGGAGAGGAGGATGGGCTGGAAGGACCGGGCAAGCCATTTTGCTGCATGTTGTTAGTCAGCATCAAAAATGGGGACAGAGTTTACCGGATGCACATATAATGATTCTTTCCTGATGTAGTAAATACCAAAAGAGTCAAAAGACATACAGAATGCGTGGAGAGTGTTATATTGTTGTTCACTCATGTCCTAGAATAAGAAGAACTATAAGAAGCTAAGAGGACAAATAAAGTGATTGGTTATAGCCTTTGTTTGAAATTTTTAAAATAAATTTTTATTCACAGTTCTTTTTCTTCTAAAAAGGATAGAGTGCAAAAGAGTATGGGTTTATCCAAAGTGTTTCTTTCCTGAAGTCATGCTCAGAGAGGGACCTGCAGCTAGGAAAGAAATGGTCGAGAGGACCACGTCTTTGTGTGAGCATGTTTGTAACTATGTCTAAAAACTGGAAAGAATCACACGAACACTTTGACCAACAGAAAATAAGTGACATTTCCAAGAGCTCTTATTTTTAATATCAGTCTAATAAGTAGTGCTAAGTAGGGAAAATGGTTGGAGAGTGTTGGCTAAATGATTGGCATTTATTCCAAGAAGCTAGTGACATAAAGAGTTCTGGTGAGTAGTTAGTTACATATCCTGTTCTGGGGTAGATGGAGGGCCAGGAACCTTACAAGGAGGGACTCTCCCGGGGCACGTAGGATGAATTAATGGTAATTACTGTGAATTTCACTAATAAACCAAATACAAAAACCCAGGCAAAACTCACTTCTGAGGGAGTGAAAGGAAAATAAAAGTTTAATTTGTCTTTTTATCAGATGGATATATAAATGCAAATGCTTGATTTGAATTATTTTCAAAAGCAAAAGTGTTAAAAGCTATTCCACTTTTAAATCATAGTCTACAGTCTTCAACAGATGGGATTCTATACTATTTATAGTTTTCAGCTTGATTTCTAATTAATATACCTATGAGATCGTAGATAAAAATATAGGGCTTCTCTAATTATTTACTTGTTTTGGTATTATGATACCTCTATTGGCATGTGTATGTTTATGCATTAAAAATTCAGCCGGCAGGTGGCATGGTGGTTAAGGTGCTAGACTTCCACATGGCCGATCACAGTTGAAGTACTGAACCTGGCAGCTTGCTTTCTCACTTTCTCTCTGTTTATCTCTGATCAAATTTTAAAAATAAATATAATGATGAATATAATTAAATAAAATAATTCTTAAAAAATTTCAGGATCAGGGTATATATATCTACCTAAATAGATACATGCTCTATTTACAGTTACTTCCATAATCTTTCGTGAACATTTTGTAGTACTGTGAGCAGTAACTACATATTGTGTAAAAACTGAGAAATCAAACCATGTTGTTAAATTTTTTAAAAGAATTATTTAATTTAATTTATTTATTTGTTTTAATTTTTACCAGACACACACACACACACACACACACACACACACACACACAGGAGAGAGAGAGAAAGTGAGTAACTAAGCCATCAGTTTCAGGACTTGAACCATGGTTGGCCAAGTGGGAGGGTCCAGTGCCTCAACCACCATGCCACCTGCTGGCTCCCCATGTTGTTAAACTAAGGAGAAAAAACTTAAGTGTTAAATAAGAAAAAAAAAATAAGGTTGCCATCACCTCTTAAAGTGGTGGCTGAAGTGACCACAATATATCTTTTTCAAACTTAACATTTCATCGTGAACATTTAGGTGGGGGAAAATGTTTTTAAATAATAAATTTGGTATGTGTAGCAAATTATTCTATTTTGTAAGAACTAAGCCTTTCTGTACTTTCATAGAATGGGAAGAAGATTTTCTGGAAGCTTCAGGTCACAGATAATCATAGGAAGGAAATCATAAATAATCATTGGAAGGTCTTACTTATGGGATATTTTCTCCATCTTTACTGAATGTATCTGAGCTTCTCTAGGTCTTAATACAGTCAAAATTTGTTTTAGAAGTGAGCACTGTGGGGGCCAGCAGATGGCATGATGAATGGGGCACTGGACTCCCACATGGCTGACCACAGTTCGAGTCCCAGACCCAGTGGCTTGCTTTCTCACTTTCTCTCTCTCTCTCTCTGTTTCTCTCTGGTGAGCACACGTGCACTGAAGCAAATTTTAAAATAATAATAAGTAAAATTAAATAATTATTTTAAAAAGAAAAATAAATAGAAGAAATAGGTACCATGGTTATCCCAAGATGGATACTATCATAATTATTTTATCAGGCTGGTATCTATGCATTCTGGGCAGGAAATTTCTTAATAAGTAGAAGCAGCACCAACACTGTGCTTTATTGAATACTGCACTATGTTTTATGTTAATCTCTTGGGTCTGATGTATTACAAAATGCCTGAAAAACATGGGGCCAGCAAGTAGTATAGTAGTGAGTATTTCTAAAAAAAATTTTTTAGAGGTTTTTGCCCTGGGATACATGATCTCACCAGAGAGAGAGAAAGTGAAAAAATCACTTCTCAGTGGTGATGGCCACACTGTAATCCCTTCTCCATTCTCCTCCTGGAATTTTGGCCACGCACACACTCATGCCGGGTATAATTTTCAAGCCCCTGGATCTAGGACTTGAACTGTGGTAGGCCATGTGGGAGTTCAGTGACGTAATTACTATGCCATCTGCTGGCCCTGGTATCTTTTTTTTTTTAAAGAGTACATTTATTTATTTCTTCCATAAAATGGAGAGACACACAGAGAGAGAGAGGAATGTGGGCAGAGCAATGGTCAGCTCCAACAGGATCCTCACACCACAGCCCGTCCCCAAACTCAGCCTAGCTCACAGCTTGCACACATGCTGCTAGCCTGCTCAGGGAGGTCACGGGATGCAAACCCAAGACCTTTCACATGCGGGTCCAGTTGCATTACCACTGCCCCCCAACCCAGTCCTGATGATTTACGAATGGCAGTGACAACTCAAAATTTCACATGAGGCAATCTAAAATATTTACTCCCTTTGGTAGTAAATAAAATAATTATCCTCTTTCGTAGCTTTTTAATATAAACGTATGTATTTAAATTATCTGGCTAAAATATCCTAACTATTCACACCTATTACTATTACGTATTACTATCACAAATTTCGGAGGGATACATTCAAATCATAGCATTCTTTTAATTAAACCATTTGCATGTCTTTTTCTGTGAATTGTCTATTTCATGATCCTTGCTCATTTTTCCATTCAAATATTAGTTGTTTTAATTTGAATCACTATTATATATTGAGTTTAACGCGTTATATATTTCATTGCAAGTGTGTTCACCAGTTTATCCTCTGACTTTTCACTGATTTTATTTTATTTTATGCGGAGGATTACATTTCCACATTACAAATCTCTCTGTCTTGTGTGTGATAATGTAGGGTGATTTCTAAAGGGTTGGAGGTCGCTGTCCGGTCTGTGTTTTGCTGCCCCGTAACTATGCTGCCCCAACGGGCAGAAACTGTAAACACGAATCTGGATCGTAGAGAAAGGGATCAGGCTGGGAACGTCGATATGAACGCCATCTGTCTAGAGCATGATGGGAGCCTGGGTGAAGGTGCATTCTCCCACAGCAAGAATGAGAGAAAAGGAAACTGTGTTGGAACGTGTGTGTTTGGGAATGAGCCAAGGAAAACGAGTTCGCAGAGCTGTCCTAGAGAAATGACCAAGGAGAAAAGAGAATCAGGGAATCACTGCAGGCCATGAAGGAAAGAGGGATACGAGGAGGGTCAGTGGGTGAAGTAGAATGGGATTTGGCAAGAGAGTCAATGAAAAAGTCAAATTACAGGAACAGACGAACAAAGAGGAGATGAATAGACCCATGGCTTTCTGTTGTTTGAATGGGCACTATCTCTAACAGCAAACAAAATAGTAAAGCGGAACGAAACTCTGCTTGTGTGTACAAAAGTGAGCCTACATTTTGTGTGACCACAAAGTAAGGGAGAAATGCCTTCCCTCTTTTCCAGCACTGATTATTTTTTAAAGTTCCATAATAATAAACAAAGGGAAAATTTATTTCAACTTTAAAGCCCTCTCTAGGCCTAGGAATGAACTTAATGGGTCAGTGCTTTAACTTAGGACATCTTAATGTAATCACTCACATTACTTAATGGACTTCACTGTATGAAGGAACTGGGTCTAGTCACTCCATATGGCTTTCAAAACTAAAGTTCTTTAAATAGGAACCATACCAAAAAAGGAGAAAATCTGGGAGAAGTGGGATCCCTCACAGGTCACAGCTAGAGTGAATGATCTCGGCTTTCAGGGTCAAAATGTAACTTCACCCAAGGAATGAAAGTGCAACTATCTTGTCTCCTCCACTGGATGGTTTCCTATCCTTGTGGCTTGTATATATAGCAGTATTTTTGCATGAGTTGATAATATGTTTGGCATTGTCTGTATTTGTTTCTCCCTCTTAGGGAGCAGAAAGAAAAATCCGAGATGAAGAGAGGAAGCAGAACAGGAAGAAAGGGAAGGGCCAGGCCTCTCAAACCCAATGCAACAACTGTGAGTTTGACTGAGACTGAGTTTGCTTTCTAAGGGAGAGACTCCAGTGGGCTGGATCCCCTGGGAGACAGGTAGAAAGAAGTGGGTGCAGGTAAAACTACATACCAGCAAGGCATGACTTACTTGCATTCCCCTGGCAGGAAGAGGAGCGACTTGTTCTTGTGAAAAGCAAATAAAATCACATGAACACCGTGAGTTTGAGCTAACAGAGACTTTGTCGTTGTAATATCATGGAAACCAATATCCTCCTCCTACACACATGGAATCTAGGGTACACAGAGGGACAAGAGGGTATGAGGGGACTGGAGCTCTGAAGTTCACGCTCTTTCTGTTGGTTTTAGGGGAGGTTTTTTTTTTTTGGTATATGTGTATGCATGTATCTGTGTGTTTTGAAGCATATTCACAGTTGTGCTATTGAGAAAACTTCACCAAAGAAAATTGTCAACTTATGGCTTATAGTTGAGAGCTCTTAGTCATGCATACCTCTCACTTGTGGGTTTTGTGATTTCCATCTAGCCTCTGATGGGAAGCTGGCCACCATACCTTTACAGAAGAAGAGTGACATCACCTACTTCAAAACCATGCCAGATCTGCACTCCCAGCCAGTTCTCTTCATACCTGATGTTCACTTTGCAAACCTGCAGAGGACTGGGCAGGTATGATTTAGCTGCCAACATCCACCCGCCACCCAGCCACAGGGCCAGTAGGACCTTCCTAGAAGTGCTTCAGGCAGTGTTGGCTTTAAAGATAAAAACCCACCTTCCATTCATTAGAGGAAAAGTGAAGGTCATTCCCTATAATACATGAATTTTAAGAAAGGAATGTCTCAGACGAGGAATGGAATCCGAGTTACTGAGGGGAAGACAAGGGGGAGCAGGTATTGATGAAGTGTTGACAAAGCAGTGAAAGAGGAAGAAAACTAAGACCGATAACCTCTAAGGAAAGTTTTGTTAGCTTTGACAGTGGAATTAGTTTTGATGCAATAGAGCTCCACCTAATGGTGTGAAGTTGAAGTGCACCTATAACTTAAAGTACAGGGGGAAATTCTTGGATTTAAGAACCCCAACAACAATTTTCTCTTATAGAAAATTAATGGTTACTGTTGAATAGGTAAGTCATTTCACACCAAAGGAAAAGTGAAGTTATAGGCAAGTCCCCTTAAAAGAACAACAGGCCAGCTAGTGGCTTGGTGATTAAAGTGGCTCATTCAGTTCTGGAATGTCCAGGGCACAGAGTGGAACAACCATTTCCCATTGGCTGCAGGGTGAAGGTTAAGGCACTGGGATCCTACATGGCTGACTGTGCAGTTCGAGTCCTGGACCTGGTGGCATGAAAAAAAACACTGGATGCATGTGCGTGAGTGCCCAAAATTTCCAAAGAGAAAGGAGGAGAAGGGATTACAACGTGGCTATTCCCCAACAGGCGGCAATTCTTTCTTGGTATTTCTCCAAAGAATACACACACATTGTAGCAAATTGAAAAACAACAGAAATGCCTATCTTCTAGGTATACCTAAAAGTGAAATGAAAGATCTAATAGTAAATTGGCATGTGTAAATGCCCAATCGGTAATGCGTTGTAGTAGCTCAGTTTGATGGAATATGACGCAGTCACTAATATTTTAATCGTGGAAGCTATGCAGCAACATGGGAACTACAATAGTTATGATAATGGCCAGTGAAAAAAGCCCAGGGGAATACCAGTTGGTGTCTACCTTATGATCCCAACAAAATTTGAAAGGCACAGAAAAATTTTACTTTTTATGGAGTTATGAGATGGCTGCTTTTGTCTTTTTGTCTTCAGTAGTTTTTATTTTATGTGACAAATGAAAATTGTGTGAAAAAAGGGGGAAAATTACTTCCCTAGCATTACCAAAATTGTCTTTCACCAAGCCAATTGGATTTTAATGGATCTTGCATTGATGAATCTGTTTTTTAAAGCCTTAATCCTTTAGGGATCAGAAGATAGCATAATGGTTATGTCACTGGACTGTGTAGTCCACTGTGGTTCGAGTCCTGGACCCAGCAGCTTAAAATTCATGCCATGTGTGTGCATGTGTGCCCAAAATCCTGAGAGGAGAATGAAGGAAAAGAGATTGCAGCATGACCATCCCTCCGGGGGTGACTTTCTGTCTTTCACACGCACCGTAATAGCAAAAATCTCTAAGACAAAACAAAACAGAAGGAAAAAACCCCTAAGTCCTTCAAAGAAACATCTCTTGAGAAATAGGGGCATACTGAGACATTCAAGTTTTCCTTACACACTCATTGGAACTGATGTCTATCTAGAAGGATATCATTATTGGTTTCACTTTTTGGAGAATGTTTCCCTCCTCGATGCTCTGTGTTGTTTCATTTTATGTGTGAAGCAAACTAGACATTTTTTTGTAGCTATTCATAATACAACCTGGTAACAAAACACCCATAAGCTATTTTCTTAAAGCATATTTACACAAAAAACTAATTTAACATTTCCTTGTTTTATTTCTTTGATAGGAACGAGGACATGGGGAAATGAAGAATTTTATAATTTACCGAGATAGGAGTGCTAGCATTGAAAAGAACATTTTTTTTGGGGGGGGGAGAGGTTTTTGCCTTAGAGCATGTGCGCTCACCAGGACAGAGAGAGACAGAGAGACAGAAAATGAGAAATCACACACACCCCCCAGGGGGGGATGGCCACGCCACAATCCCTTCATTCTCCTCTCGGTATCTTGGGCATGCACGCACACGTTCCGGGCGTGAGTTTAAGCCACAGGTCTGGGACATGAACTGCAGTCGACTACATGGGAATCCAGTGACATAGCCATTACACCATCTGCTGGTCCTGAAAAAAAAGTTTTTTTGAAAGAGATTTTTGCTATAGGGTACGTATACTCACCAGAGAGACAGAGAGAGACAGAGAGACAGAAAGTAAGAAATCACCCCCCTCCCCCAGGGGTGGGGTTGGCCACACCGCAATCTCTTCTCCTCCATTCTCCTCTCAGGATCTTGGGCACGCACGCACACGCGCTCAGCATGAATTTTAAGTAGCCAGGTACAGGACTTGAACCGCAGTCGACTACATGGAAATCCAGTAACATAACCATTATACTATCTGCTGGTCCCCCAAATTTTTTGTTATTTCTTAGATTTGTGTATGTACTGCTTTTACCCCATGGCACTTTTGTGGAGGTAGGTTTCTACACCTTCCAAAAGAGGGGATATTGAGTTAAATTGTTCTTATTATTTACTCTTATGACTTTGGCTTCAGTTTTGGGTTGACATCAACAACGTGACCCATTCATGTGGCAAGATGTCTCTGAAATATCCGAAACTGTGCTATGAATGAGCCTCGGAGGAAGAGTGGCCCCACCTGGCTTCTCAGGACTGTCATCCTCTGGCTTCACTTGCCCCGAGGTGTCTGAGACTGAATCCAAAGGAAAATGGAGCCTTTGCAGGCTGTGGGTTTAAGCTATTGCCAGGCAGTCAGCATGGCCAGGCCCATGGGTGAAGTGAAGTCTTGCTGAGGCCACCCTCCCAGTGCCCTCGGGCTTCCCTGTGGCCGTGGATTCGGAGTCGAAGCCATGAGTACCCTGTGGCTCATCCCCTTGCTCAGCTGGAGGAAAGGAGCTTCAACCGTGGCTGACTGGGGCATCTCAGGGTGCCTTTTTAGATAAGCTCAATGCCTGGGAGATCCACAAAGGCAGGAAAGTGGAGGCAGGGCCATGACCTGAGAATTGGATATGTGGCAGGGGGGTGCGG